GGAAAGTACTGTTTGGAATTTTTTTAAATGAATTAAAAAAGTACTTCTTTTCGTGGTATTTCATACAAACCCGTCACACCAAACATGCTCGCCCTTTCATCCGAGGGGCGTTATAAAGTGACGGTCAATCCCACTATTCGTTGGTAAAAGAGTAGTCCAAGAGTTGGCGGTGAGTGGTAATGACTAGCTAGCTACTTTCTCTCTAGTCTTACACTGCTAAATTAGGGACGGCTAGCGCAGATAGCCCTCGTGTAGCTTTTCGTGAAATTCACAAACAAACAAACAAATTTCATACAAAACAAAAAAATCGATAAAAATATCAAAATATCTAGGAGGCAATTTAAGAATATAATACAACAAGAACTTTGTTCAAAACTGTGAAGTACTAGAAGACGTTTAAACAAGGCTATATAGATTAAACGTCACTTCAATAACAACTATTAATGGGGATGCTGTTGTAGTTATTTTGCTTTCGTTGTTAGAATTTAAAACCAGTGAAAGTACATGGCTTCGCTCGGGTTATTTGGTTGATTTATTTTAGATTACTATGTCAGTGTGTATACTCTGAACCCATTTTAGCATAAAAGTTTAACCTGTATACTTCTTTTGCTACGCAGCATGACATAAAAGCCATCGTGGAAACACATTGTTACCAAAACGCACTGGCTTTTCGCTAGATTGCCTCACTAAAAAGATGCGCACTCGCGCAAACACGCACATGCGCGTCTGTCTGTTATTTATATCTATAATTTGTAATATCAGGAACCACTTCTTTTCTATGTGGTTTTTTGCTAGCTAGCCTCATTAAAAATATACGCGCACGCACGTGGATAAGATAAATATTAATATTCAGACCCTCAGGGTCCACTTAGTATGGATGTAAAATTTCAGGTTTCTAGATTTTTTTCCACTTGGAGCTATAGCGGTCACATTTCATTTCTAAGTGGTTTTTTGCATAAAAAGAGACCCAACATGGCCAGGTAGTTAGTGCGCTTGACTCGCAATCTGAGGGTCGCGGGTTCAAATCCTCTTCCCATCAAACATACTCGCCCTTTCAGCCGTGGGGGCATTATAATGTGATGGTTGTTAAAAGAGTAACCAAAGAGTTGGCGGTGGATGGTGATGACTAGCTGCCTTCCCTCTAGTCTTTCACTGCTAAATTAGGGACGGCCAGCGCAGATAGCCCTCTTGTAGCTTTGCGCGAAATTAAAAAGAATCCAAAACAATCCGCATAAAAAGATGTGCACGCGCATGTACGTAGATAAGTAATAATACCCAGGTACACACCCTCAGGATCCACTTAGTATGGGTGCAAAATTTCAGGTTTCTGTGTTCTTTTCTCTTGAAGTTATATAACGGCAGTCTCTCACACACATACCCACAGACACGCCCTTTTATTATTATAGATAGATAGATAGCTTAAAATAAATAGGTAGCAAGAGCATATTTTGCTGTTAACTGTGCTCAATTGGCTGTTAAAGAAACTGTTTGCGAAATTAAAATTTGTTTCGAATACTCAGTGCCGAAAGACTCCAGGATTCTGAAAGTTGGGGGAAGCGAAAGAGTGGCAGACAGATGGGCTTGGGGGACGAAGGGTTTTGTTTTTAATAATAAGTGGAAGGATTAGTTGGCTGGTTAGCGTTTATTGGCGCAAAGCAACTGGACTGTCTGCACTAAGTGGAAGAAACTTATGGAAGATAAATTAAGAAACTCTGAGAAGAATTGTTTGTTTTTGAATTTCGCGCAAAGCTACACGAGGGCTATCTGCGCTATCCGACTCTAATTTAGCAGTGTAAGACTAGAGGGAAGGCAGCAAGTCATCACCACCCACCGCCAAATCTTGGGCTACTCTTTTACCAACGAATAGTGTGATTGACCGTCATATTATAACGCCCCCATGGCTGAAAGGGCGAGCATGTTTGATGTGATGGCGATTAGAACCTGCGACTCTCAGATTGCGAGTCGAGCGCCCTAACTACCTGGCCATGCCGGGCCCATCTGAGAAGAAATTATTATTTTCCTGTGGAATTGTTCCTTAATATTAGAAAAACAACTGTTGAACAAACAAGGTTCTTTACCAGTTCGGTGCGTTTTTCGTTTTTAATTCACGCATCTCACTAACCCTGCAAAAACATTAATTAATTACATTAACATAAAATTCTTAAACAGGGAACATTTTAAAAATTAAATTCAATTACATGGAATAGTTTATACAAGCTCATAAAACAAACATACAATAATAAGAAAGTGTATCATTAAATTATAAAACAGTTCCTTTTAATATCGGTTGTCGCTAGAATTGGATGCTCAAGCTTCCACCTGACTGAGTAACTTCGAAGTTTTCATAATACTGTGATTGGCTGCAAAGACAACATGACTAACCAGGGATTGGATAATGTTTTGTTAGGTGGGTTTTCCTTGTGTAAGGTTGCCTAGTAGCTCAAAACATTGTATTCTGTAGTTTTCTAAACTTCTTTTAATGGTGCCCGCCGCCACCCGTTGGCGTCGCCACTGCAAGTACTGAAGCAGAACCATTCTTCATAAACTTTTAAACATTATTCTTTATTTTTTTTCTTAATAATATATTGGTGAAAAAATCCCACACGTTACTACAACACCAACATTCCACGTAAACAGTTGGATTTATTTTTCATATTTCGTATTTCAGATCTCTCTTTTGTCTCCAAAAATCTATATTTGGAAACCAGAAATGGATAAATTAAGGTAAATGTGAAAAAAATATTTGTAATTTACGTGACCTATATCATCACGCAGGTTAGGCCTAGTGCTTTTCAATGCCTCGTCACCTTTAGGCGTAATATAAATTTGAAGCTCTTATATCACACATATAAATAGCATTTCAGATAAACTTTCGCCTCTCATCGTCTAACCCAAGTTTCGAGGTCTGTTACTGAAAGAAAAGTTTCCTGAGCAATGACTTGTGAAAGACAAAAGACATATATAAAACGCTAATTATTACACACCTCTGAAATATGAAATAGACAAATTAAGACGAATGTAAAAAAAACTACAATTTATGAGCTTTGTCATAAAAGTTATGTTTATTTTTTCCAATCCTTTAACGTTTAAACTGTAGCCCCAAAAGATGTCGCGTTTAATACTGACTTTGATATTCACAAACTAAGAATCAAGTTACAGTTGTTCTTGTGCAACGTACGTAAGGTTAGAGAACATCTCTGTCACCAGGTGCTTTCATTCATTGAATAGGTGAATTATCGGTTCCAACAAGAAAGTCAGATTATCTCAAGTCATAGCGTAACCTTCCGAACAGAATCAATAAAATCTAGTGGACAGTGCATACAGTCGTAAAACAACTTTTATTACCATATTATATACACTAAAGTATACATAAGTCAAGAACGTGGTGAACATCAATAGGCAATGATAGCAACTCATCGATTTGTGTTATAAATTTGTGTTCTCCATAGATTTCAATTGCTCAGTGATTAGTGAAAAGATGCTATTTCCAGAAGTGATGAACAGGAGACCTTTAAGTCTGAACCACCGTGATTTTTTACCTTTTATTGGAGAAAGTCGAAACATAGTTGTTCTTAAAATCTCATGTTTACTCAGTGTTAAGTGACTAGTTGGTATTTGTTCTCGTCCCATATTTATTTAAAAACCAGAACTATTTTTATCAGCGACCTCCAAGTTAGAAACTGTTTATTACATATAAATATTTTACACTGAGAGCATGATTATAACTTAGTCCGTTACTAAATGACAAATCATAAAAATTTTCTTTCGTAATTTATCATAAAATATTCTGTTTTTCAATGACATTTAAGAGAGATCTCGAATAACTCAAAATAATGCGTTTCCATGTGTATTTTTTATTAATATTGTTGTGTGTTTCTCAGAACTTAGTAGGTGACACAAAATTTGTAATAATAAAAAATCCAAATTTTTACGTGTAAAGTAAAGTTATTTTATTAACATATAGAAATGCATAAAGGGCGTATACAGTGTTTATAAAAGCACTATAAAACTATATATTTAAAAAAGCTCTTTTTAACAATATATACGGTTATGTATACGTGTCATATACATATATGTGGGTATATATACAAGTAAATTTATATATTGGCATCAAATTATTTACAAGCTAACGATAGGACTGAAACAATATGAGCAATTTAAGAGTTACTTATCATTTATGATCTTACAGTAAGTGTACTGTATATTTATAGGCACATATCTTGGAGTATGACAAATATTAATTGACTAGCAAGTTTAAACCTATTCTCACCACCTCTTACTTCTAAGAAACGTAACATGGCATTACAAACAAAATAGAAATAAATGAAGATAATCCTTCAGCGTCGCTTAATGACATCATGGCACCCTCTGAATATCGCGCGCTTCAGGAAGCTCGAGTCCTTGACAAAGGATTATATGCTTCATATTAAATATTAATAGAGTTTTCAAATTTCAGATTGATGAATTGTTTGATGATTAAGATTATCCCCAAATATTAATTTGTGTATAAATTATAATATTTCTTCTTGATAAAGAGAGTACTAGAGTTTTAAGTTACAGTGGCATTATTTCTTTAAAATATCAAAATACTTATTTTCGACAAAAAAAATCATATATATATATATATATGGATAGAAACAACACTATTTCACTCTGCGAGACAAACGTTGACTTAAAGTAATTCGCGACCGGCTTAAAATAGAACCAGAACTACATGTAGACTAGTGTTAACCAAATTCTCGGAGTTTTGTTTTCTCTCTCTAGAGATGAATTGTCTTCATGGTTTACACGTTTTTTATTGTTTTATGTGTTCGTGGAAGAATTGTGCACAGCAATTGTTCTTATTGAAGAAACACGTGGTCACGATTTTCTAAAACCGGTCTCAAGAAGCTTTAACAAAAACATGTAACCTTAACCACTTAATTTAAACGCCGCTGAAGCTCGAGAATGTGTCCAAAATACTAGTGAACCATCGAAGCAGAACGCAGCTGTCGCGTCGGTTACCGCTGCTGGGGTCCATGGGCACACACTCCGTCTTCATGTTTAACCAACAAGGACATGCGGGAGAAGGTCTTGTTACACGTCTTGCACCTGTACTTCTTTACATCCGAATGTGTCTGAAGGTGAGCCCGCAGGTTGGATCGATCAGCAAAAGCTCGACTACAGTGTGGACAAGAGAAAGGTTTCTCTCCTGTGTGGGTTCGAATATGACCTTGGAGAAGCCATGGCCGGGAGAAAGCTTTTCCACATATTGTACATTTACACGGGAGAGTGTGAGTCCTAATGTGCATTTTGAGGGCTCCGAGAGAGACGTACATCTTGTCACAGTGCTTACAGCTGAAAGATTTCTTTGCAGTTGACTCGCAGTGGAACTGTAGGTGTTTGGATAAACCACCGTAAGTAGAGTAGCTCTTTTCGCATTCCGTACACTGGTATCTAGAATTTTCTATGTGTTTGCTACTAACCATTACTGTAGTGGAGCTACTGTCACGACTGCTCTCCCCTTCCGACTCGGGACTAGGGGGAGCTGCTAGCAATGGCTCCTGGTTGCCGTATGTATTCCACATGGTGAGCAAGTTATTACTGCCTGTTGTCATGATTTGTGACGGGGGTGATTTTAGGGATAAAAGGTGTTCCCTTTCAGAGACTGATGGGGACAGATGCAGCTTATCGGGTGACTTAAGAGACTCATGGATAAAACTGAGTGGAGACCGAGGAGGAGACATCGGGGGTTGCCCCATGCTTCCGAAGCTGAAATGATCTGGATGGTAAAGTGTATAATCATTATGTAAATATTGAGGTACCAGTCTTTGATGAGAAGGCCCCTCTGGATCAGAAATCATAGTATTGGAAAAAGACTTTGCAGTAGATACTGTACTCATTAAAGATTCCTGAGATTGTAAAGATTTCTTCAAAGGTTGTGACTCGTGATGCAGCTCAAAGCGGATAACTCTTGCTTTATTAGTCAGGTCGAATGGGGCTGGGTCATCTAAAAGAAGATGAAATAGATCGGTTAGATATGTGTTACAAGAAATCCTATCCAACATGTATTTGATCTTTAAAACTGTGAAGTGTTTGAAGACAAAAAAATACAATAAATGAAAACGAGAATAGTTTCTAAACTACTGAGTTTAAGAATGCTTACCTTTATAGCAAAAAGTAATTTTTTTTTCAAAATAGGTGAGATTAAATTTGTATAACACCAATCAATCAATTGCAAAATAGAAAAAAAATATATATATAATATAGGCGAAGCTCTTTTTAATGTCATTTTTGATATACTAATACAATATTTAAATATTCATTTCAATGCCAAGGTGAAGTCACTGCTTTATTCTGTTATCTTAGGAATTTCGGGAGCTTAAAGCTTTAGTAATCCCTCGGTGAGTCAGTAGTAAGTTTACGGTCTTTTACGCTAAAATACATGATACCATACCCCGCGATGTACAAAGCGAAGATAGCTTATTGTGTAGCTATGCGCTAACAAAAGTAGCACCAAGTTTTAGTATTCCACCATTTAATGTTTATTGTCTTAATTTGCATTCAGTAACATATTTTGCTGGTTTCATAAGTTTCTTCTACTTTGCTTTACATTTTAATATTAACTTAGATTTAATAATCTGTGCAAAATTCATTTTCAATAAGCAATTATGAACACCCCTTCTTCGAGGATTCTGAGAGCAACTGTCGGAGTGTGGACAAACGAACCGAGATAAGAAGCTCTACTTGACAGATGGTTGTAGTATCAAAGAACTGACAGATGCGTTATAGACCTTCAGTTCTGGACCCATCTGTTCAGTTGTTGCCCAAATAATAAAAGATTGTTATAATCAGAGCTATACTGATTAATCTGAAATATTTTTTTTTCCCACATGAGGTACGTTCGGTAGTATAACAATCCTGCCAAAATGATAGATATTTACAGTTACTTGCCAGTAAAGACTAATTAGCCTTATATGATTCAGTAAGTTATGATCGTGAAAGTGAGAACAAAAAAAAAGATTAACAAAATGTTATGTTAATATTTTATTTATTCATTCATCAGAAGAACATGGTAATATTTTCCAAATACGAAAAAATCTTAATCTAGATAACAACACAAATACAAGAATTCGCAAGGTAGTTTTATGAGGTCCACCAGTTCAGTTTATAACCACTCAGATTTCAAGAGCTTGTCTGAGATGTGAGCGTCAATGTTCTGCTAAATATAAATGACATTTACTAATAAAGAAATTTAGACTGGTTTCTAACCAAATGCACCATTTAAAGGACACTAATGATGTGATTCTATACTTAAATAACCTAAAAGATAAAATCATTTGTAAACAAAGTTTTGGATACATAAAATTAAACTGATTCGTTTATCAAAAAATACCTGAATAAGAAGGCACGAGGGTTGGTAGGCTGATTATGACGTCACTTTCCACTTCTGTCCAAGATTTCTTGATTGGAGTGTTGCTTCTACACGAATGATGTTTCTTGATTAAAAACGAACGAGGCATGGTAAAATGTTTATTTAGATGCTATATTTGGCACCAGGGAAGACTACTTATTGTTATGGCACAGGAATATGTGTAAGTCAACAATATACTAATATCGGGATGTGTATCTTACAGCACTATATACTTGGTAAGAAAATTCCTACCTGTTCTGTTTAGCGAAATACCTTTAACTGGAGCCCTCTCTTGTGGTAACGACGTTTTTCAATCCTAGAGACTGCTTGCATCCCCCTTTCCTTTCCCGCCCTCAGCAAAAGTGCAGGTGTACGTTTAGTTGACCAATCATATGTATTTCTGGAATATCGGGCATTTAGCCAACCTACCAATCACAGGTCGTTGATAAGCTATAGTGTTTGCTCCTCCTGCCAACTAAACTACGAACTCTACTAAGGAGAGTCGGAAACAGGTGTAGGCTAAAGGAAAATTTAGTCAGGGTTTGGGACGTATTCCCGCACCCAGGTTATTGGATGTTGACGGAGTTGTTTGCTACCATGCAGAATGCCACCTTGTAATCAATGGCAGTATCGAAACTTCGTTTTTTCATCAGCTTAACAACATCTGTCACCAGCAAAGAAACTTCGTGCAGATACATGTGCTACAAACAGTATATATGTAAAAATAATCTATATTTAGGTATTCATGTGTATGTATATATATATATATATATATAGCATGTTATTACACTTGTTTCACTTCAGTCACTTCCCTGAAAATATAAATATTGCTTACTTTATTTCCCAAAAAGAAATATAAGTAATAACTCTTGACAGTTCATTTTATGGAGAGTATTATTTTTGATATATAATGTTAATATAGTTACACCTTACGCAAGTGTGAATGAGTTAAATACACTATTGTACTGAGAAACAGATACTACTAAATCTTAACACTTTAATATTTGCAAATTTCCAAACTATTAGATACCCAATCAAAACACACTAAAAACGTACAGGATAATTTACTTTTATATTTTATACTCCAATTTCTGAAGAAAGCAAATAGATATCAAAAAGTTTAGTATACTGGCCACTCCTCTAAGTTAGACTAGTTTCTGAACTTTTATTACAAGACATCTTCAGTACTCTTGACTAAAGACTTTGATCAAGTTTTATTTAAAACGCATGAACCACTTTTACCGTGTGAATGGTATTTTTTTTTCACTTCAAAACTAATCCTAATGACATACCATAAGTTCAGAGAAAATATCACCATCATATTATTAATTCACCAAATCAAAAAAATGAAACGTTTCCTAGTGGGTTTCAGTTTTGTTAATGTCTAATTCAATTTACTCAACCTATGGTTTCTATGTTTGAGTTTAATTTGAATATGTGTGTATTTTTAAGCATTATTTATTCGTTTTTGAAAAAATCATCACAAAAAATTACCAGGTTGAAAGCAAAATGTTTTATTTTTAAGCCTTCAATTACACAAATTGATAGCTTACTGTAAGTGAGCATAAAATCAGTACTTTAGTTTTGACTGCCATTTTGCAAATGCGACACGATAGTTAAGTATGAAATCGAAATTTATTGTTTTGTCACAGTAAATTACGACCTCAGATTCATTCAATTTTTAACAGGGAGTTTAAAGAGAACCCAGTTTTAGTTAAACATAAATTCAGAAAACTAAGTATAACATTCTTAGACATTAATCGCAGGCTAACACGTTCATTTAAAACTAAATATTACATCTGTAGACATTAATCGCAGGCTAACACGTTCACTTAAAACTAAATATAATATTCATAGACATTAATCGCTAACACGTTCAATTACATTGACTGTCAAAGAAAAGTACAAACCCCTCTAACGTATATAAATAGCTTGAAATCTGTTATGTAATTTTTCCTTGAGATGTTTTTATACTTAAAATTGACTGACATTTATATAAATTAATTAGTTAACAGTGTTCCTAACGGACAACACGTGCTCCTATGGTTTTGGGGGTAGTGGTTAGCGTTTCGGGCTTTATTCTAACTTAAAGAAGAAGCGTAAAGCCGAAACATCGTACGCTACTCAAACGAAAAGAAGCATGGGAACAATGTTAAGCAATGAATGAAATTGCCTTGCGTTTAAAACTTCCCATGAATAACTCAGTTGTAATATATAAGGTTAATTTTGAACTTTATTTGAGTTTTTTTTTTGTTTGTTTGTTTGTTTTTTCTTTCTGGAAATAGGTAAACAAACTCTCTTTGTGATTAAACTGATAACAATTTTCTAAGCATTAGGAACTAAGTTTAGATTGAATAATATGTTTCAATCATTGCACTAGAGTCACATTGCGTTTGTGTTATTAGTGCACCTGCACCAGAATTAATAGCATAACGCATAAAAATCTGTAATAACACAGAATTAGCAAAACATACAAAAGCCTGACTAGTTTCGACAGACCAAGCTTGTCATTCTCAAGCGACGGAGTCAAACTGAGTTAACAGAATGATAAGCTTGGTCTGTAATCATTTCTGCATTATCTTGATTGTGTGTTGTTAGTTTTTTATAAATTTGTTCAAGATGCTTCTCCTTCTTTAAGCGGAGAACTCAATACAGAATTACTTTAAAATTAGAATGCCACAGAGAGTATGCTGTACTAATTATCTTATCTAACCTCTACTTTCTTTAGTAGCGGCATGTACTTAAGTTTTAAATATCAATACCTCAAATAATCATACACATATCCAAGTTTTGTGTTCACTAGTATGTTCGCTATAGGATTAAAACGTTCATCAAGCAACTGGAAATAACGCATTGATATAAAAGCTAGTAACAAAACAAGATGTTCAGTTGCTGGTGAAACACAAAAATAATTCCATAAACTTAATTTTGTTTTCAAGAAAATCAGGTCCTTTTAGGTGAACATAGATTGCTTTTGTAATGTATTTATAAAATTGCGAATATTTAGTACTTTTTCAATATATAGTATAATATTGTTCCAACAGAAAGCATGTTATTTCGCAGCCATTTAAATTATGATGCTTAGATTTCAACTTAGAAGCCTTTCGCTACAGCCCAAGATGCAATATTTATATTTTCTAAAATCAAACTTATAAACAACTTAAACACAATTTCATGAAGTTTTCTGGGTTATAATAACATTTATGTAGAACGTTCTATTAAGTTAAGTTATACTGAATCAGGAATGGTGTTGTAAGTCGCATAAAACAATCAAATTTGTGTGGTTTTGTGAAATTATATTATTTTCCGAAGATTCGGGATTAGTATATAACCATATTCAAGGACATAGTAACACACAATACTTCAGTAACAAAGATTTTTAGGTGACAGGTCCATGTTTCTGGTTACTAGCGGAAGTTATACCTTGGTGTAGGGTGTCTAACCTTGACCCCATGGAACTCGAGTAATCTAATGCGAGCTCCCTGCATTGTATAAACTCACAATGAAAGAGAGAGAGAGAGAAACAAAGGACTAGCAAAGAGTGGCTTTAGAAGGTCTACCTGTGGGAAGACTACATAGAACCGCCTTGCACCCAGTGGTTGTGTGAGTTACACATCACGTATTTACAGCTCCAGATTATCGGACAGGATGAAG